GTCCTCGAAATAATTCCGGCCACCTTCGCCCGGTCGGAAAATCCAAGGAAGGCGAACCTGGCCGGGGAACAAAGAAGCGGGATCCCTGCGGAAAGTTATCCCGGGAAACCGGAAAACTTCCCAATATCAGTTAGGCGAAACTCGCATCTAAGTCCGCGCGGCCGCCAGAAGGCGGAAAATAATGTTTGATCGCGCTGAAAATTAGAGAGGCGATCTGCCGAGAGAGGGAGAGGGTCGACCGGAAGTGGAGGGGCGAGGGGCGAGTCCGAGGAGAAGGGTCTTCCTGTTCCCGGTAGCGATTCGACCCCCGCCATCCCTAGGGAACTCCCTCTCCCTCTCTCTCTCCCACCCCCGGCGCGCCCCCTCGCCCTCTCCTTCTCCTTCTGCCCGGAAAAATCATCTCACTGCCATTTCCGAGCTCATCGCACTGTCAGGGGTGGTCACCGCGAGCTCCACCCCCGCAGAGGAGAATTCCGCGCGCGGAATCTAAAATTGATGCCCACTCCGCGGAAAATACCCGCAAAACTCGCCGCGGGGACTGAGAGACGTTTGCCTGGGCGGATGGATTTATCAGGTGTAAACGACATTCGCTAAATCTCGCCTCCTGTATCTATGAGTATCAGTGACGTCATGGTATTCATTAGCAATGATTCATGATATAAAAGTTGAATATTCTGTCGGCAAATTAAATGAAAATAATATTAATAGGAGAAAGGTAAAGGGGTTTTTCATCTCGAGGTGTCTCTTCGAGGGTGCGAGGGTGGTCGCGATGAGCACCGCTTTCCTCCCTGACCCTCTCGTTAAAACATGCGCGGGGGTGGCGGTTAATAATGCACTCCGCGTTATTTTCATATCGGAGTCGAGCCCCGAGATCGGGCAGAAACATTTATGACGACGTAACTCGTTTAACCGGGGGTTGGTTCGGAGACCAGGTGCCCTTTTGCGAATCCTGTTAAGGGATGATCAGCCACTTCCGTTGCTCCGCCTCGGTCCGATCCCGTGACCTATCATATCCGGAACCAGCCTCTAGAAAAACCATTCCTGGAAGAAACGCGCCTCCACCCTTTATATTCGAAAATTCACACATATTAAGGGGAAAGGTCCAGAAGTATAGAAATTTCTCCGGGGCATTTTGTAGTTCCGTACTCACAAAGTCTCTTAAGCCGATGATAAAGTACCGAATCCTTTCAGACTACAACGTGACATGGAGGCCGCGAGGAAGGTCCCGATACTCATAAAATTCAATTTTTGTGTATACTTATATGGAAATGATTGAAAATTTCGAATTTCACCCGCGTCGGAACCTTCCTTGTCGCTTCCGGATTTACGTTGCGGAGTTTAAAAGGATTCGGTTCACTCAGTTCGGAGGAAAGTGTCACGAACGAAATCGGGATGTCGCTTTCGTATCGCCTTAAGGCCTCTGAAGTTTCCCCCGTTGCGAGAGGCCGTTTCTTCAGGAGGCCCGGTAAAAAAGGCGAGCTTGGGGGGTTAAATCAGGATGGGATCTTCCAGCAGGGGTGCGAGTAGGTGGCAAGGGTGAGATCCTAGTTTTGATTCACCTCGGCACCCTACCGGTCACGGGGTTGACGGGGCGTAATTGTTCTCTTGTCTGGTTCTCGTACGGATCCACCCCCTGCCAACACCCACCATCCAGCGATTGCCTTCGCGCCAAGAATGCATAAACAGCCACCCTGCAGACCTGCAACCCCTGCAACCCCTGCAACCCCTGTTGGTCAAAGGGGCCGAGAGACTCAGTTTCTTTCCTAATTCCGCAAGACGTCTCGATCGCTCGATAAATAGGGGTAAATAAATAAACCGTACAGCATACGTGTACATATGTGTTCCCATGATACATATGTACTCATGGGAGAGACAGGATACGAGGGAGAAGTATGACGCGGCTCAGGAACCAATCAGCGCGGCTCAGGCTCCTTGACAAATGATGCGCTCGCGATATTCCTATCTCATGGATCTATACATCGGAGGAGTAACCATCATCCATGGGTTATTAATGGTGGGGTTTGCCGGTGGGTGGGTTTCTCGATGGGGGTGGATCGAGGGATGCATCTAAGCGCGGCAAGTGCAGCGGGGCCAATCTCTGAGTTTACCTTCATTTCTGATGAGAAATCGTTTAAACTGTTATGAGGAAATTTTCTGGAAAATTAAATCTCCTGAGTATTAGCATCTTTCTTATAGCTTCCGTGTTCAGGGTAGAAAGTTTGATATGAGTGATAGTATGAGATCGATAAGGGCTATCAACAGGGTGGGACTCTCAGACGGGGCGGTCGAGGGATGCACTTGCAGTCGTTGCAATCACCAGCCCTCGGGTACTCCCTGGTCTGCAGGATTTCCCAGCACCCTTGATTCCGTCATTTCTCATAATTCTCACGGTTGGCAATCATTCGCCTCCTCTCCCTGCGGGGTGGAGGCCCAAGGGGGTGGGCTTGCACCCCGGGAGCGACCTCGCCGCTCTGACGTGTGACACGCCGCGAGATTGGCGCTCCTGGGAGACACCTCATTCAATTAACCACTCAGTTACTCGCATCACATCGCATTTACCCACCAGCCTCCCCCGTGGCGGGCCGCCCTCCACCCCCGCTCGAAAGAGGGCGAATTTTACGGCCTCCCGCGTTTCGGCCGAGTTTCTCGCTGCTGGGGGTCCTCTCCCAGACACCCCAAAATTCCCAAAATTTGCCCCTTCCACCCCTTCGACCCCCTACCCATTCCGAATTCTCCCTCCCTATAAAATTCTAAAACCATTCAATTCATTTCTCGTTCGCAGAAAATCCGAAAATTCCATATCCAAAAAGTAAGGGTTAATTCCGATATCTGGTATAAATTATTCCAAACCCTTCCCGAATTTCCCAATCCCATAGAGTTTTTTGCGTCGCACCCCTTGTCTGTCATGAAATATATTTTGTTAAATCATTTCCCTTGGCGGGAATGAATTTTTTTTTCCGTAATTCTAGTTTCGGGCGAGTGTCTGACGAGTCCTCCTCGGATTTCGGTGAAATCGGGAACTCACCCCCTGGAGGGGGTCTCGCCGATAAACGAGGCTCGCCTCGCGGGGGGTTGAACGTTAAATCACACGCATCGCGCCGATGCGCCGGCCCGAAGGGCTGAAACCGACGGCGGCGTCGCGGAATTACTCGGCGGCCTCCCCGGGGGCTGAACTTGTCCGCGACAATTTCAAACTTATTTTAACATTCATATAAGCCCCCCCGGCACCCCGTGCCCGGTGCCCCGCGCAACCCGAGTGCCACCCCCAGGACGTGTAAGGGTGCGCGCGAGCATAAGGGTTGAGGATTTACATAAGATTATGCGCGGCCCGCCCTCCAGGACTTTACGAGGGCTCGACTGTACTCGGGGGTGCTCTCCTCTCCGGCTGATAATTAGAATAAAGTGATGTTACCTCGTCGAAGACCCGGAAGTGCGTCACACCCTCTGGGGGTCGCACCTTGAAAAATCTCTCGGCCTATTCTAATTATTTTTCTCGGTTAAAGGAAAGTGGTTGAGGATTTTTGGGGGAGGTTTCCTTGCTACCATAAAGATGTACCTGATCGATCCTCGATATTAATCTGCAAAACGATGGTCTATCATTTTTGGGAAGGTTTCTTTTGGTCCATGAAAATTTCCTCGGTTGATTGGAAATATTGTTAACAATAGAATGAACGTTCTACATTCTCCAGATGATTTTTCATCGGTCCTGGTTATCGGTTCCTCTTTTTTCAAGAAATTATCAAGTGGAGTCGCCCGAAACGCGGTCCATGCATTCGAGAGGGTGCCTCGCCGAGAAGGGCGGGAAAGTTCGTGCAATATTCGGGAGAATCATCCGCGAGAGATCCTCCAGGATACAGGGTGAACCAGGGGGTCGAAAAAGAGGCTTAAATAAATTCGCGCAATTTATCGTCGCACAGAGGGTGCATTCGTTTATTCCATATTAAAGAGTCTGCGGCTGGCCAGGCCGAGGGAGCGGTCTGTCTTCGATGGCGACTCACGAAACCAGGAATTCACGTTTATTTATTTATCTCTCCTCCAACCCCTAGAAATAACAACGGAATTAATTATCCCCGATTCCCTGGCCTCCGACGATAACGCGACAATTTTTTCCCGAATTTTTCCCCCCTACTTAAAGTAGGTTAAATAATTTTTGTTTATTTTCTCGGGGGTTGTTTTAGACCCTGAGGGGGAGGAAAAGACTAGCGATGGCCAGATTCGACGGAATCATAAATATGGGCGGAATTCGTTGGCTCGCGTCTCGTAAAGCGTTTTCCGTGCCTCGATTCTCTTTCAGCGAGATTTATTCCCCCCGGCCCTCCCGCAGGGTTGTTAAATCTTGGCCCTCCATTATGTGTTTCGTATTCATGGTCTGAGCAAAAATTGCTCCTAGAGCACAATAAAGGTTATACGAGCGATAAAGTAAGCCGAAGCTACCGCGTCGATGTTTATTTAAAGCGCGCCGGAAGACCCAGGAGTCATCCTCGTCTCCTCCGACCTCCTCTTCGGGTTTACGAGGTCCTGAGGGTAGATTCTCTCTGGACGGGAACCTTCAACCTCACCTCGAAAGTTACCCACCAGGATTTATAAACCGGCGGTCGGTAAAGTCTCCCCCTGGCCGCGTGGATTCATTCCGTCTTCATCGGAGACCCTGAAGAGATAACAGAAGGAACCTGTAATGCTCATCTCCATCGGTAACGTCCGTATTTCAGATCCCGATAACTAGCGCCGCGGTTCTGAACTTGGGGAGTTCACCTAAAGTCGGTATGAAGAAAAGAAATCATGAAAATTCAATAAATTATATGAATTAAATAATAAAACACTAGGATGAGGTGGCAAGGAGGATCGGAATTTATTTCCTAAGAGCCAATCGGCGTATAGATTTTATTGGGGGAGACAAAAGAGCTCAGCGATCTATTGACACACGTGCCGAGGTGTCAAGAGCTGTCAACCTGTTCCTTGAGGAAGGGAGTGGAGATCGAGATCCTCTAGACCGCGGGAAGATGCTGCGCCTCGGTTCTCCAAAATGGCGGCGCTGGGTGTCGCCAACCCTGCGGTGGTACCACGCGACAGGGTCTCTACAAGCGAAAAAGGGCGTGTGTCCATCGGAACCACCACCAGTGGCCATCGTGAGTTCCTCATTCTCGGGTTCTCCAGGAGTTGGTACCTCAAGGATGGGTCCTAGGTCAAGAATCGATAGGCCATCTCGGGAGAAATCACTAACTGCGAGAAAAATTGGTCTTGGTCGATGTAACTAGGATCTGATGTCGCACAAAGTCGATCCTTTGGGAACCAAGACACAAAGGGGGGTTTCCTTGATCTCTGGACCCTTTCGCCGGTCTCTTCAGGTCCTCTGCGGATGTGGAGCCCTGGACGGGACCGAGATCTCCGAAGCGATGTCGCTGATCTACCACTGTTGCGGGAAGTCCCTGAGGCCCTGCTTCTACGCGCCCCAGGTGGACATTTGCGGGGTGATGAACCACCTGACCATGGAGCCGGACACCTGCGGGGTGCCGAGGAACGCCATGGTCGAAAGCGCCAGGTTGGCCAGGTCGAACCTGAGACCCCTCTGCGACTGCAAGGCCTGCAACGCCGAGGCCCTCTTCATCCCCGGAGGCTTCGGGGTGGCCAAGACCCTGTCCGTAAAACTTAGGAAACTAGTATCCCTACCTTTCTGGCGACCCTGAGGAGCGCCAGAACTTAAGCACCACCTCTGGGGATGGGACTAAAGTCTTAGGGACCGTTCCTTTCTTACCCAGGAGCGACTTCGCGACCAAGGGGTCGGAGTGCGTCGTCCAGCCGGACCTGAAGAACGCCATCGAGGACTTCGCCTGCAGCAGGAAGCCCATCGCGGCGATGTGCATCGCCTCTGCCATTGCTGCAAGGGTCTTGAAGGGTGCCAAAGTGACCCTCGGGAAGGACAGTGAGTCCAAAGTCGATAACCAAGGTGGAACTCAATGTTTCGCTCCTGGTATTAGCGAAACATTGAATTCCTCGTATGCTTTCCGTATCGCAGAGCCTCCGGAACTCTGGCCATATGCAGATGCGATCGCGCAGGTCCAGAAAATGGGAGCCTGCGTGGAGTTGAAGGATGTTAAGGGGGTCACGTACTGCACGAAACATAATCTATTTACCACGCCTGCCTGGCTTTATGCCGCAGCCACGTACTCCGAGATACACCAGGGAATCGGGAATCTGGTGTGTGCGGTCGCCCAGGCCATTAAGTGACGTCAATTCATTAATTAATATTCTTATCTATCGGAACATTTCGGTATATCTTCATGACTTTGGAGGGTCTCGTATATATTTCTTAATAAATCCTGGAAAAGTCTGCCCTATCTCGTTCATCGCCGAGGCCGTCTTCGCGATCGTAACGCCTCCTCCCATCGTAATCGGTATCGTATCACTTTTTTTTTAATAACAAGTACGCCGTACAAAAAGAAGGATCCACTTTATTGTCCGCCATAATCGCGAATCCCGGGATCGACGAGGTCGATAGAGGGACTTCTCCCCGGGTCTGCGTGACCTCCCCCTCTGATAAGTCTACACTTCCTCGATTTACAAGTACACAGTTAACAACAACGAGATAACAATGCTCGCCGAGGATCCGCGACGAGTCGCGGGTCCTTTTTTCGCCGACGGAATCCCAAGGTAGAAAGGGTTGACCCGAGAGAATAGGGAATTCCGTAGCGGCGAGGCGTCGTTCGTCAGGTGCTAATGGACGAGATACTCTATGGCGGATTTGCCTCCAAGGTGAGGAATTCCAAGTCGCGATAAATTAGCATATCCCTGGCCGAGTTTCGAGTCCCCTCTCGGTTTCCTCGTCAACGCCGAACCCCGGTCAGGATTTATCGGCGCGCTTTTCAACGCTTCCAGTCCCGACCAACGAGCTAGCGCGCCGTTAAAAGTGCAGTTAAAACAGCTAAGGACAATTTCCGAATGCACCCACGCCTCGTTGGGAGAGAAATTACTCCGGCATTATCCCAGGCAATGTCCCTTTAATATTCATATCTGACGGTCCCTTAGCAGGAATTCCTCCATATACCGGAGCAGCGGTTTCAGCGCTAGATCGTACCCCATTCCCATAAGAGGTAAATCGCGATACATCGATTGTTACTCGCTAGTCGTTAATTAGAAATTTCCTAGGGATGCGCAGAAACGGGGCGAGGAAGTTAGCGTCGGGACTGAAGGCACTAATTCTAACGAGAAGTCCCCAAGCATCAGCCTCTCGAATTTGGCGAAGCGATCTTGGAAGTATAAATAGAGAATTGGATCGGGCACGGATAACTGCGACTGGCTTGCATCGAAAGTCTGCTCGACTTCCTAGGGAAATCGGCGAGGCCCCTAGGGTCGACCCTGGTCCTTGCTTTGATGGACCTAGTCCATAAGGAAACGCCTGAGAAAATCCCTACAGGACTTCTTGCCTTTCTGCCTGTGTCAGTTACCGCTGATGCACCGATAAACGCACCGATAAACGCACCGATAAACGCATCGATTAACGCACCGATAACCAACGCGCGTCCGACTTTGGTTCCAAATCCTCGAGGCCAGATTCCGCTGGGATTAGTTCCCGAAGTGCGCCCTTAATATGCCTAAACTCTCCGGAGGTCCATCCTGGTGATTCAGCTGAGAGCCAGAAGAGGTTCCACCGTAACGCGAGCCTTCCTAGCCTTGTCCTCCTGGTACTTCTTGATCTTCATCAGCTTCCGCTTGCCGTTGCTGAGCTTCTTGCGAGGAGCCTCCACCTCGGTGGTCTCCGCCTCCTCCTCCTCCAGCATCCTCAGAGTCTCGATGATGTTCCTAGGTTCGCCGATCCTCCCGGCGGTGCCGTTCTTGTTGGCGTACACCACCGACAGGTGGGAGAAGCTGGACTTGGGGGGTGCAGTTATGTCGGCGAAGTCCCTGAAGTTCGCGAAGAAGTCCCCACCGCGGACCGGTTGGGGTTTCGGGTTCCTCACATAGGGCTGTGGCCTGGTGCGACCACCACCGTGGTAGTACGGGTTGTACAGGGTCTCGTCCACGGAGTACTCGTCGGTCTCCTTGTCCTCAGGGTAGTAGGTGCCTCCTCGGATGACTCCGAAGTTCCCGGAGCCCAGGAGTGGGTGGGTGGTCCCGGTCGTCGTCGTCGAGGCTGCCGCTTGGTACCCACCGCGGTCTCGTTGGAAGAAGCCCAGGAACCTGTTGGGACGGTAGCGTTGCTGTTGCTGCTGCTCGTCGTAGGATAGACGGTGGTCGGAGAACAGCTCCGCGAAGGATGGGAAGAAGTTCTGGCTGTCGGTTTGCAGGCTCCTCTCGTTCCCCGGGTCCCCTTCGGACACCTTCCTCTGGCTGGAGGTGACGGACTCTTGGCGCTCTTCCTTCGTCACCGACTCCTCCACCCGGGGGGGTTGCGTAGACGGTGCCTCCGCTTGGTGCGATTCCATCGCCGTCTCCGAGCCGTCCGGTTCCATGAACATGTCCGAGTCGTCCCCTTCGTCCTCGTACTGGTCGCCACCCACCTCCGAGGCGGCGGCTACGGAGTCCTGAAATGCAAACCTGTTCACAAGGGGTCCTAACCCCTCGACGATGGTCCTCGTGGGGCCCCTCGGACAGAATTTCGGCATCCACGGTTTAGGGATCTTCGGCCCGGGCTAGACATTTCGAAATCCCGACAATTTCTCGACACCTAGGTGAGGAAGAGGACCAAGGAGAGGTCGCGCGAGGTGGAGGAAGGAGAAGGGCACCACCTCGAGAAGTACCCCCCGGGGTCTCGCCTTGACATTTGAAAAAGACATCTTCTCGCGCTCGTTGCCCTCGCCTGCACTCGCTCGACTCGCCTGCACTAGCTCGCGCGCCTGCGCACGGGCGCGACGCCCACGTACGCACGTGCACGCGTTACGCGTGCACAAAGCCGCGGCTGCACGGGCGGCCCTCTGCTTGCGACATTCTAACGACACGCCTAGCATTGTTACGGATATGTCAGCTCGGCAGCCCGTCGTGTAACAATTGCCCTCCCATGTAACTCGGCCCTCGAAAACCCGCCCCCCTAGGCTTGCGAAACCCTAGTTAACCGACCCATAAATAATAAACAATGGCCAAAAATTATGCAAATAATTTCACCGAAAAATATGAAAGTATCATTAAACCGCGGGAGTACTTCTTTGCAAGTACCCGAGAGATATATCGATAATTCGAGGAATAGACAATTGACTCGATTAAATTGGATGCGAAACTTCCTCGGGATTGGGACGATTTATTTGAGGTTATGTCGGTCAAATTATGATTCGTTAAATGAAGAAAATCTTTCCTCGCGAATGATTTTCTCCCGGTGTAGGTCATGCGCGTTATTCCGATTTTCCCCTCCCGGGCCCTGGGGGGTCTTTTTGCGACGCTTACGTCCTGGCGAACACGCGAGGGTCGTTTACGGATTCGACTCGGACGAAGGGAATCGATAGGCCATTAACGAGCTCCCCGGCCATTTAGAGTTGCAGCTCCGAGCGGGAGAGCGTTGCTTTTTGCGCGATTATAAATATCCTTGCAAAATGGCGACGGTCCCCCGATTGCGGGACGCAAATTAGCTTCGCGCCGTTTCTGCGGCCGTTAAACCGCGGCTTGCACCGCGAATGTTATTACAATGTTATCCCCATCAGGAGCGCATTAAACCGCTGCACTTTTGCCCGCGGCACGTGTCCACGACTGCCCGATAAATGCATCCCAGAGGCGGGCGAAAAAAAAATTCCCACCACTTAATCGGGGCGTTATCAACATTTACAATATTTTTCCCGAATCCTGGGAAATAACATCCAGTGGTAAAAAAATTTAAATCCCCATCAGGCGCGCATTAAACCGCTGCACTTTTGCCCGCGGCACGTGTCCATGACCGCCCCATAAATGCATCCCAGAGGCGGACGAAAAAAAAATTCCCACCACTTAATCGGGGCGTTATCAATTTTTACAATATTTTTCCCGAGTCCTGGGAATTAACATCCAGTGGTTAAAAATTGATCTAGAGGGCTCGTACAGAAGAAAGATGATTCGGAGGCCATTAGAGGGTCGTCGACTGCGGGAGAGCGCGGTCTCGAGTTCGCGTTAGTCATTTGCGAATCGAGGCCGATCGGCGGGATGATTCCCCGTCGTCTACGCCGAGGTTAACTCGCGGATACGTGATTCCGTAATTACGGAAGATCTAAGCCCCGTCGGGATCGATTTCCTCCGATCGTGAGCCGCTCGGCATGGGAATCCTCCGGCGTGCCCTCGTAGCTCGAGGAGACACGACTCGGTGACGTAAACCAGGGGGAAATAAAGGGGTTAAATTCGTAGAGAAAGGCTAAAGGCACGGCGAGGGACAACTTCTTCTGCGGACTTTCCGCTAAATTGATTTACCGATCCCGGGAGGCAACGTGTCATTACCGATCCCGGAGGCTGAGCGCTGGACCGCTCGAGTTTATGCACCCAGGAAGGGGGGCCCCTCTAACTCGCGGATGATCGCTCGTTTGGTCGAGACAATAGCACCGAGAGGCGGATAATTTCCCGAGGAGACGTGGGCTCTACACGTCGAAAGGCCTGCAATCCGCCGCGACGTTCCGCGCGAATGGAGGCTGCGGAATTGGATGGAAATACGCAACTCGTGCACCTTTAAGAGGATATGAAAGGTGCCAAGAAATTTAATCGACGTCGATGAAATAAAATTCATCGGTACCCTTTTTAGTGGTAATGCTCAAGTGGGAACATAAACTGGTGCGTCCCATTCCCGTGTTTGTCAACAAATATGAAAATCATGAAATTTGAAATAATTCGGCTCGTTGGGTAGAAAAAAAAAGTTGGATTTTCGATTGCCACTTTCGTATCGCTTTAATTCAAGGACCTAGTCGAGTTCCCAGGAAGGGTCTGAGAAGGATCTGTTTTTCTCTCTTCAAGGCGTTCTTACCCCGTAGACGGCGACGTCTTCAGGAACTGGAGCTCCGTCTGCAACAATAAAACGAAGGAATCATGAAATCGCCGGCGATATAATAATAGATGACAGTGATTTATATCGATTTAACAGGCTTGGGGAATTATCATTATTAAGGGGGTATGAAAGGAGCATTCCACCTGCCCTGGAACCAGGACACCGAGGTGAACGAGTGCAACGAGGATCGCGGAAACAAGGACGTCCACCAGGATCGTTTTCGAGGATCTGTATCGATCGATTAACCGGTCCAATCGATCATCGATAATTAAATACCCCGGTTCCGGGAGCGGAGAAAATATGCTCTCGATAATTCGAAGAATACGGAGGCGAGGTGTATAATTATCTCGAATTGTCCTCATCTTTTCTTTTCCCGACCAAGAAGAATTACGAGAGGGAACAAAGGAACGATCCTGCGGGATTAGTAGATCCTAAATTTGGAATACCGTATTCCCAGCTGGGAAAAATAAGCAGCAGAGTCCTGGAACGCGGTTTCGAATTGATAGGACGACTTCGGGGCAAAATAAAGGACGACGCGGTATCCTCGGGATAAATTTAGACGAGAGGTCCTTGGGGCATTTCTGCGTGTTTAAGGAGAGGAAAGGACTGCCAGGAGTGGACGAATCCTTGCCACTTTAATATGGAGACTGAATTCCCGAGGGAATAGAGTGAGACACCAAGGCACGACTTCCGCGAGGAATAATCACCGTTCCAACTCGGGCTAATCGAGTTATTAATTAGTCAGCCGCGCGATTGATCCAAGTTTGTTAATTGGTCCGGTCAGTTCGTTATGCGATCAATTACCGAGCCACGAGGAGGTAGTTTTTTACCGGTCGGAGAAAGTAGATTACCGATCACGGTGACAACGTGGCATGACAGCGACTTCAGACGTCCCGGGGGAGTGCACCCGATGCACCTCTTGTTTCTCGTTTTTTATTTTTAATTTTCCATTCCATTTAATATGCATTCCCAGTGGATTTATTTAACATCGAAGAAACAAAAAAAACGTTGGTCTAAAAATTCCCGCGGCACTTAAGACATCCAAATCGAAAATCGTCCCGACAAATGGGGACACTTCATGAATAGGAACCGAGCCTATCAAGAAACCCGGTGGAGTTTCGCGCCAAGTACACTTTCATATCGTTGATGGACGTCGGGATTCGATAAATAGATAAAATAAGATGGATAAAAATCTCGAGGTACTCCAAGGTTCTCAAGGAATGAAATTAATACAGGGAGGGTAATTTCTTAAGTGAAATCTGAATTGCAAGGATTCCGGCGATTTGCCGCCACGTATACCCTAGGTCAGTGAAGTGTCCTTGCGAGAGCCGCCTCTCCGTTCCCTGAATGGCGGGAATAAATTGATTTAACCCGTCCATTCAATCCCAGCAGAGAGACAGAGCGAGAGGGGCGATTAACGAGACGTCGATAATCCTCAATAAGAAATCCGGAGGTCGATAAGTACTCATTGGCAGGAAAAGAAAAAAAAGAAAAAAGAAAAAAGTCGAGGCCGTTAGCATTGACCGTGCGATCGGCAGATCGCGTTATCGGTGCACTCCGATAAGGCAACCCGGTGTGTCCAGAATGCAGTCCGGAGCCAGGGTAGTCATTTGCATACGGTGGCGCGACTTCGCACTATAGCATGCCTTGCAGCATGCACCCGAGTGCGCTTTTCGATTAGCCTGGAACAATGGCTGGATGCACCGCCGGTTGCGTCGGCCGATTTGCATAAGTGCCGAGGAGAGGAGAGGCGACGGAGAGATGCACGCACCTTAATCGCGATTGCGGGATGAATTACGAGCCCCTTAATTCGATTATGCACGCCGGCGGGGCACTTTATAAATAATCCGCCGCGGTAGTCGCGACATAGACGACGAGGCCCGCTCGGATGCACCGGGTTGCATAAGTGCACCGGGACGCGGCATTCATTCCCTTACGTCAGCCAAGGCCTTTTTCCTCCCGCAAATTGATTTTTAACCTTGTTATTTATAACGATCGTAAATCACAAGGTGGGGCGTTAACAATGGCGTCCCTAATCTGGCCTGACCTTTCGGGTGCAGTTGCAACGTGCCCGATGCAAGGTGCATATAAACGGATTTCTCGAATTCCACGGAGAAGTTTCCTTCCTTTTTTCTTTCTCCTCGGTCTCTTATTTCTTATTGGGATGTTACTATGCCAGCGTTGTACGGGATTTTTAATTTACCGGTATGTAAATTATTTCAATTGGTTTGGCAAGCCTCGAGTGGGGTTAGGGGAGCGGCGGCCACGTGCGCGGGTGGAACAATTAAAGAAAGGCCTCCTGCGAGCACGTGAACGTATGGCGCCTTAAGATCAAGAGTAATATCCGAAAGGAATGCTTCAAGGTCCTCGCAAGACCTGGCGCAATGTGTAACGGTACAAGGCCGACACGACCAAATTATTCCCGCAATACCGGGCGCGGAAAAAAAAAATGAAAGCACTTTCCGAGTGCGGTTAATGTTCTCCAAGCCCGTTCCCCGTGTAGCGGATGTACTGGATTTCAAGTTGCAAAATTCGGGCGATTTAATTTTCATTTTCACGTTTTACTATAATCGTTACCAAAATTATTCCGGCAGTACCGAGCGTTGGCAAAAAATTAAAGCACTCGCAGAGTACGGTATGCCCTCCCCACGTATATCTCAGGTTTCGAGCTAAGGGAATTTAAATCCGATTATCCAATTGTCAGGATTAATCTCCATAATCGAAATTATTCCTCCACCGAGCCCAGAGAAATTAAAAGCACGGCCTGAGTAAATGCATTGCGCACTTACAGATTCATTTCCACGTCTCGGGAGTAACCCGATTTAAATCGGAAAGAACTCGGGCGGCTCTTCAAAGAGGCCTCTCGGTGCACATTACGCGTTATATAAAATAATTCCCAGAAATTGTCTCGGCCATATCAGGTGGATTCCTAATCCCAGAGAAACCGACCGACTAGCGTAATAACTTCTTCGGGGGATTTTGTCCCGGGCTTCCGTCGGGGGCTTTTACGTAATTGCGCGCTGAATTTCACGTCTTTTCCGCGTCCTTTATGCGGCCCGTCTAGAGAGGCGGAAGAGATCTCGCCGCGGAATCGCACGTATATACCTTGCGGCCGTAGTTGCGAATGGCAACGAGGAAGCGATCTCGATCAATTCGAGGTTTCATCAGGGGATGAAATTGCTTGCGGTTACCGGAGCGGCGAGCCGGAGATCGCGCACGCAGGTGCAGGAAGATGCACCGAGATGCACCCAGGTGCATACAGTTCCACCATCTAGACATACCTGTTCTAAGTGAACAGAGATGCATGCACACCTCCACTATCACGGGATAAGTGCATCTCACCTGACAGAGATGATCTCCGATGCAGGTCCAGGATCGAGAGATCATCCCCAGGTGCAGGAAGCGATCTCCCGTGATCGACACCTCGAGGCCCTAATGAGACGTCTTCGGGTGCATCGAAACCTGCAGTTAACGAGCCGACATGGAACCCTGTATTCTCACTCTCAGGTGTGCCATCGACACCCGATTGTGCAGCTATGCACCTGCACTGCAACCATTTCTCACCCCGACGCGGCGATCCTCCGCTAATTAAACATCCATTAATTAAAACGCAAGCTGCAAGTGACTCCATCGAATCGCAGGGAAATAGAATTACGGATCTTGGGGTGAGTCGGGGTGCAGATGATCGAGGGATCGGTTTTTCGAGATCCAGGCAATCGATCGCTGATCGATGCCTCCACGTCGCTAATGAGACGGCTCGTCTTGGCTCCTCGCCGATTGAATTACTCTCCCGAGTCCTTTTCCCCTCCACTTCCATTACGCATCGAAATGGGAGACAAACGTTGAAGTACCGAGCCGCGTAATTAGGTAATTAGAGTAAATAAAGCGAGCAGCGAAGCTCGCTTCCGCCAGGAGAGCAATAAGATCTCGATGTTTATCGACCCTCCGTTCGATAACTCCGATAACCGCTTTCTGATAACTATTCCGAACGGCTCCTCCCCTCTTGGGAGGCAATTTTCATGAATAATCAAACGAGTGTTAATTACGTAAACCGGGCTCGGGAATTTCCGGAATCTCCCTTTCAGGAATATTTCTTAGATCAATTAGAATCAATATCGATCGAAAATGGGAATATCTCCTCCTTTACTCGATTTATCTGCCAGTTTACCTCTCACTATGACGTTGTTCCGCCCATTACACCGTAACACGCCTCTAATTAATCCGGGGCCGAGTGATAATTAATAATTTCTAACCTCCCTGGAGGACGTGAACCAGGAAGTGTTCTCCAGTTTGGAGTAAATTTCTCCGCTGGTTAAATTATGTCTGCAGTTCGAGGGATGAGGAAGGCTAGACGTAGAAAGGGGTGAGGATCTTCAGGACCTGAAGAGGTCCTTCCGGAGGACCCTGAAGAGGTCCCTGAAGGGGTCCTCGGTTTCTCAAAAGTGAAAGCACCTCACCAAGTCCTAGGCTTAGAGACTCTCTTTCAGGTGGCCAATCGGCTATTCAGACTTTCATTGGTAACATTACCTGAACAGTCGGAAACTTTCTCCATCGGCGAGGAAGATCCCCAAGAAATTTGCTCGAAACGAGTTTCGTCGGATCCCACGGATCGGGAATCTTTAAAACGTGCCTTTCGCTTCCGACCTAGGACAATATTCCTGGCACCGTAAACCTCCGCAGTGAACACGAAAACATTCCACCTCTCTCTCTCTCACTTTTTCTCCGATTTTTCAGAATTAATTAAGACCGTCGAGAGGCGGGGGTAAAAGTTGCACGATTCCGCGATTCCCATGAAGTCAGGCCTACCGCAACAACCGGCGATTAAAACGATGTAATTCTTTCGTCGAAAACCCCCCGATGCCCCCTGCTCGTGTGCAATTACTAATCGGGGGATATAATTTGCGGAATTGCACGTTCGTCTTTCTTGGTTACGAGCGTGGGAATCGCCGAGACGCGTCTCCCACGTAAGGACATCCTCGGACATCGGCGTCGCGTAATCTGCATCGAACTTCCAAGG